TCTTAATATTTTTAGCTTTCTGTAGATTTTAATGGAGCTGTACAGTCTCTCACACTTTAGAGTAGTAGTTAACACTTACCAAACTCTATTCCCCCTTTCATATAGAATTTTCTAAATTCTTTAGGTTTGTTTAGGCTGAAGACTAAAGACTTTCAAGGCAGGACTACAGTAAATACATTCTGTTTAAGAACGTATGCACCCCAGGCCTGAACAACAGGACACCATCATAGTCAAAGCAACCTTCAAGCTCGGAATCTTGGAGAAGCTCCAAAGACAGTACGTGCTGTGAAGAAGAGGAAGATGAGGAAGAAAGGGGTCCTGGGACTTTCAACTCAATTTCTAGGGAGGCATACCAGGGGGGCAGATCATAAATTGTGGAACCCCTGGAGACAGGGGCATGCACCCTTTCTTACTCCTTGCGCCAGAAGGCCTTTGTTAAAGACCTGTTCTCTTTCTTATCTCTGCTAAATTAGCCTGGTGTTTTTTTGCTCCCACTTTTTAAACACCACCAGAGATGCTTGGTTTATGATTTAGGTATATTTATTAACACCTTGTAAACAGGAGAAAAAGTGGAAGATACATAGAGATATTAAGATTTGTGATCACAGAATGACTGAGGTTGGAAGGCACCTCTGGAGGCCATATGGTACAACCTTCCCTGCTAAAGCAAAGCCACCTACAGCCAGTTGCCCAGGACCATGCCCAGAGTTTTTGAATATATCCAGCGGTGGAGACTCCAAAACCTCTCTGGCCAACCTCTTGCCAGTGCTCAGTCATCCTGAGAGTAAAACAGTGGTTCCTGATGTTCAGAGGAAAGCTCCTGTGTTTCTGTTTGTATCCATTGCTTTCGTCCTGTCACTAGGCATCACTGAAAAGAGCCTGGTTCCATCTTCTTTGCACACTCCCTTCAGTGTTTATACACATTGATGAGACTCCCCTGAGCCGCTTCTTCTCCAGGATGAACAGACCCAGCTCTCTCAGCGTTTCCTCATAGGAGAGATGCTCCAGTTCATCATCTTCATGTCCCTTTGCTGGACTCTCCCCCATAGCCCCATCCCTCTCTTGTGGTGGGGAGTCCAGAAGTGGACACAATACTACTGGTGTAATGCAAATTACAACGTAAAACTTTACACTTAAAATACAAGTAAGGGGAAAAAAAAAACCAAGGAAGCACAAAACCGAGAAATCTAGGAAAGAAAACATCTAAATAACCAAAAGTGTAGAGAAGCAATACATTGCTATCAAACCTCAAAACCCCAGCAAACCAGCAGAATCCAGATGCAGAAAAGTGTTAAATCAGTATTATATTCTGGGTATTTGTCCATGAATGTTCTTTATTGCATTAGTCTTTGCTTTTCCACAAGTGAATGGTGAAAAGATACAGACCTGGCATGACACCATTATGCTCATTTCCTCATGTGATGACAGTTCCTCACAGTGCTCCAATGGCAGCAGCTTTTGACCAGCAGCAAGATACACCTTAAAGTGAAGGATATTACGCTTCTCCTACAACTGCTAATCTCTCTGATTTGCTTCCACAGCAGTGTTCACAGAAAATAGAACAAATCAACAAGAACATAACAATGCAAAGAAGCATCAAACAAAATGCAGGGAATCTATTTTATGGCTGTCTGTATTTCCCTTTAAATTATGCTAGTATAGAACAAAGAATAGAAACAATCTAACATCTCTGAAACTGGGGTGAAAGAAAACTGAGCTTACATTGGTACTGCTTTGTTTAAGGTACAGAAGAGCTCTACTGGACTTGGGGCATAGAAGAACTGAGGGTGTTAACCTTAGTTCACTGCAGACTTACTAAGCCAACTTTGGGCAAGTTATCATTTCTACATCAGTGAAATGGAGATAGGACTTCTCTGCCTTATAGGCAAGACTGAAATTAATCTCTATAAACTGCCTGAACAGTCAGGAGTTTTATATTAAATATTAAAATTAATATAAAGATTTTTAAGCAGGTAAAATGTAAAAGAAAAAAAAAACCACCTTCCACTAACACTTTCCGAGCTATTACCTAAACCATATATAAAATCCCTCCAGAAAAAAGTATTAATCCATTTAATTACTTCCTTAACTTGTGAAGTTTACTTATTATTTCCTGCCCTCCAGAGTATACATGCAATTTTATACCTCTTTTCAGAACAGTAAACAACTCAAAAAGTTTCCATGACTGAACAAGCAGCAGTCAAACATGAGACAAGGGCTTGTTTCTGCCCGGGAGCATGGGAGGCAGAAAAAAAAAGAAACAATTAAGACACACCAGGTTAGTATGGAAGGCACTTATTAAAGAAAAAAAGAGCACTTGCAATAATTTATTTCCTCTTCCCTTAGTTCTCAAAGGCAAGCAAGGGAGAAGAGAGATTTTCTTGGAAGATGGAATGAGGTCAAGGAGTTAACTCATACGTGTACTCATCAAGACCTTTCCAAAAATAACAGAATGTATGAAAGGAAAGACTTTTTTCATAGAGAAAAGAGGATTTAAAAGAATCATCCAGATGGTTATGACTGATATGAAACAGAAAGTATGGAACGTGACCAACCTGCAATAGTATGATGCAAGCCCTTAAATGCAGGAATATAAACGTGAAACAAAGCATAGTGCACAAACACAGCATGCTAAAGAGGGAGTTAAAGTAAGAAAGACAAGTAAGGAAGTAAGGAAGACAAGTAGGAATGATGTATGCTTAAGTTTAACTTAAAATTTTTGGTAAGTTCAAAGCACAGGGGTCGTAAAACGATTACAAAAACCAGTTTAATGCAGTATCAGAAAACAGTGTAGGTTTAGGGGCAGGGGTGCAGGCTCAGGGCATTAGTCCTCTCACACTTATATTCACATACAGGTACCTGAATAATTAGCGGTTCTGGTGATACTGACGTACTGAATGAAGAAATAATAAAGAAATCTACTGCACAGTCAATTACTTTGTTACTGAAGTGTGCTAAATAAATGCAAAAATGTAATGTGAAAGCAACTGCAAATGCATGCTAATTTAGGAAAACAGAGCTCCCTCAGTTTTCCAAAGGAGGCAGAAGTAGAGGGTGTCACAGAGGTAGATGACTGACATCGGTGGAGACGCTGGTCAGACTTAAATTTTACTGTGAATTTCAATGCCATTATAACTAATTTTTACATCGTACATTTTTTGTAGAGAGGAGAAAGTTGTGTAGCATAAGAATAAGCAGCAACTATTTCATATTATATTTAGATAATAAACCTTCTGGTAAGAGAAATGAATGGTAAGAGAAATTTTTCTGTGGTTTCATCATGCCTACTGTAAAGAGTCCAAGAGTCAATGAGTATAAAATTCAAGTTATTGTGACCAGGAAGGGTTAAACAACACCTCAATATAAGTGCTCTTACACAAAAAATAAAGAATTCACAGTTATTTTGTGGACAAGCCCTTATTCATATTTCATAGACACAAAACCAACATTCATATACAGTACAGAAGAGTCTAAACCAAAATTTTGTAATAAGAACACTTGTAGTTTTGTAAGGTTCTCTTCCTTGCATGCACTATGAAGCCTATTAAAAAAACCCAACAACCCCACAACCAGCATTTCACTGAAATGAAGGTTTTCTTAATGAAAGCATGAAACTGCACAGACCATGACGGGTGGCAAATTTTGAACTACTCTCACTTGTGTGTGCATTTTCTTTATCACACAAATTGTTGATTTGCAAGTACTAGACTCACACCTATGAAAATAAAGAGCTGACTCTTAAATTTATGCTTTAACAGTAAACCTACAATATTCATTTGTGTATAAAAATAATTTTTGAAGTACACCTGTAAAACAAAACATACATTTCTACAGTTAAGAAAATTAATAAAAAACTAAATCAAAACTTCCCCTAACGTGAGCTTCATTAACTCAGTCTTGTATACAATGGAGAATAAGTTAAAAGGTGAATTATTGTGAATGCTATGTTCTCCAGAGAGAGAAAATGGAGACAAAACTGGATTATATAAACTTCTTGGAAACCTACATACAACGTTTGATTTCTGGTCAGAAACTTTGTGACTTCTCACCTATTTAAATAAAACAGATGCCAAATGAATTATATTTACTCTGACTTTCTGCATGTATGGTAGCTTTCACATAGTTTGTTTTCCTGAAGTTCAATAAAGTTTAGCAACAGACAGAGTTTACAGATGGCAGAACCGAGACTGTAAAATTACCTTACCCTCACTGGAAAGAGTAACTTCATATAGTGAAAAGAATACAACGGAATGTAAGAGTTCATAAATATTATGCAGAAAGAAGTGTATCAATCCACTTGACTTGGTCAAATGCACTCTTACACCAAATCTGAAATTGTAACACTTTATCATACCTTACCATAAAACTTTGGCTGTAACATGAAAATGGAAGGTCACGGCAGGCCATCCTTCTCTTTCAAGGTGTATCTGTTCATCAAATTTGTACCTCTCTACCTTATCCAGGACACAATCAATCATGCAGCAGCTGGGATTTTAAGAAACAATATTGTCACATGCAACAAATTCTCCCAACTTGGCAACAGTGGGTTTGTACGCATTGAAAGGCTTTGCCGACACACCGGAGTAGCTTGAGTGCTGGAGACAGTGCAGTGATGTTAGCACAGCTCTTCACTTATTCATTCCATGTGCTAAGATGGCTATGTTATTCCGTGTTCTATTCCAGAACATACTTAATATGGCACATGCTAGCTACCAACTCAATAAGCAAAATTTAAGGCACATTTTGTGTCTGTGCTTTGATTACAAGCTCCTTGGAACAGAAATTCTTCCTAAGTGTCTGAAAAACATTTTGCACATTTTGAATACTGTCATCAACTAGTAGTTTGACAGAAGGCAATCCTGTGAGATATTTCAATTCTTTGTACGTTCTTTCTGACTTTTATGTTTCTATTATCCAATTTCCTTTTGTCGAAGATGAAAGAACACACACCAAGATGCATCAAAGGGACACTACAACAAAAAAAACCATGACCACATAAGAACAATGATTTGTAAGGTGATTAGTATTTTTAAAGTGCTTTGTTAAATATATAAAATGAAAGAGATGGCAAATGATTCTAAAGCAAGTTGAATATGAAAATAAGAGAGATAAATGGACTTAGTCTTCCTAAATTCATGATGAAGAAGACAGACTGGTAGTACACTGTCTCCTCCTGGCATTAAAGAAAGAAAACTGTAATCTGTACCCTAATCCTCTTAACTTCATCACTTCATCAGAAGACCACACAAACACAATACATATTCCAAACACATTAGCAGATGCTGATACTTTTTACTCCAATATTGAAATTGAAGTATTTCAATTTGATTATACTAATTTAAAGAGAACTTCCATGTCTCTTTACACCACTACGATACAGAGGGCCATAGGCCACTAAAATTTTTGTATTTCACCACAGAATAAGCAAATAACAGTTTCTTGTACCACTGTTTCAATCACATTTTTTTTTCATTCTGTGTTCTCACCCTATTCAGGCCAAAAAGCCCTTTCCCCCCTTACCAAAGTGTGGGTGTTGACTAAACAAACTCCGTCTCAGTTTTGCTACTTGCAAGCAATAGTCAAAAAGAGTGACACGAAGATTTCCATAAAAATTTCAATTATTACAATAAATACCAAGTTCTGTGATGATCTAAACAATAAATTAAAAAAAAACCCAACATTTTTATTTAAAATGTAAAAGAGTGACAACATACCATGTTCTAAACCTTCCACCTTTAAAATCGCAATTTGGTCGACCAGTTGGTGATTAGGTTCCATTAAAAGTTAATACAATTACATTTAAATTACTCCACCTAGACAATTAACAAAGAACCACTAATCTCAGATCAGCCACATGGCCAATATTATTAAAATGCCCAAACTAGTCTTCTACAGTGTCCCACTTGAGTGCAGCTTCTCAGCAGTTTGCCAGGAGCTGCTGTCCTTCATTGCCTGATAAAGCCATCTGACCATGGCCTACAACACCTTTAACGATGAATTCAAGTGCTCTGAAGAAAGGGCTCCCAAAAGTGTGCATTTACAGCAATCTGCAAGGAGACAATATGCCTTCAGCTCCTTTGGTTTTAATAATGTTCCCTTTGGAAAGTGAATCAGTCGAAGACTGTTCCAATAAAATAGGAAGTCAAAGTCTAGACAAGGCATAAACCGCTGTCTATACAGTTTGTGACAACGTCCTTGTTTTTCTCTCTTCCACAGTTTTTTTCCAAAGACCATGCAGTGAAGGCAGTTTGATTTTATCCATATTCTTACTGTAAACATTAAGAAATATACCAAGGACAACAAGTAAGCCTGACCACACGTACCTAAAGGAGAGGGAGAGGACGGAAAAAAGTTACCATTAGCACTTATCTGTAGCAATTACATATCAATATATGTGGATTAAATAAAGCCCCTATACTAGAAAGAGTTGAAGAAAAAAACTCCTACAAATCAGTGGGCTGTGAATATCCTTGAATCTTTATTATTACTATCCTTCCACCCTTCTTTTTTCCTGTCCTGGCTGAAGAGCTTAATAAGGTGCATTTATAGTTAACAGTATCTGTTATTTCTCACATGAATAAAATAATCCTGAGGATTTTAGTACATTTTTCCATCCTATGGTTATGAGAGCTATAGTCTCTATTACTGGTCAAAAATGTGTTCTCACTCAGTGCCTTTTACCCCTACTTCCCAATGTAGGCACATTTTTGTTTCAGCTCTCCACTATTTTAAGCCTCATGGTTTTTAGCTGGAGTAAATTCCGCTTGGGCGTTTGGCTGTAAACTTCGTTCTCAAATCTCAAATGAATATACATATAGAAATAAAATGGAATATTATTTTATTTCAAACCAGAAGCAGTTAGGATCAAAGCAGAAACTTAGCTGCATTTTTCAATGTAAGTTCTTCCTTGAAATTAAAAAAAGGGAATAAACCCAAGCTCAAAAATCTTGTCACTTAATATCTCAAGATAATAAAAGCTAGCAGTTATTTAAAAAGGCTAGCTAAGAACCCAAATCTGAGCTTATAAAAGCAGAAACAATACTGTAATGGAGAAAATCCCTTTCTTTAGCCAAATCTTCCTCCACAGAGAAAGTACTCAAACAATTTATTAAGTATCATAAGCATTAGAAATTATGTAAAGTTTTTCTTAAAAAAAAATCCAACAAAAAATGCCAACATATGAAATAGCTTTTTACAAAATACACTTTTAGAAAAATGGAAACTATTTTCTCTAGTATGATTAGAATCAACAAGCCCGTCAATATTTACAGTGAATTGCCAACATTTGTAGAAGATATGAAGTGACAAGCATTAAGCCCTGATTAATTACTGTTGTTATATTTCTGTGATCAAGACACGATTTCTTATAAAACATTTAATAAAACATTTAAAACTATAAATACTTACTGTAATGTAAATGGTTTTGCAAAGAACAAGAAAGAAAGCACGATTGTCATTGCTTTTCTTCCTGTTGTTACTGCAAAGGAAAACAACTATTTAAGAATTCAGTTGCAGCAAAAGAACACAATATAGGCTTCAGTATTAGCAGGTAACCTCGTTACATAATTAAGTGTCTGGCTAAAACCGCGATCACCCTTGGTGCACACACTGCAAATGAAGTGCTAGAACCCTACACTGTTTGAAAACAAGGACACTGTGACAGTAGTATCACCCCAGTCACACTGTCTGCAGCAAAAAAAACTTACAGAACAAGATTTGCTCTTTAATAACTTCATGTTAATCAATTCACAGTCTCTCAAAGCAACAAACAACCCCTGCACTTATCTGATGGTATAAACTAATCTGTTAAAGCTTAGATTTCTCTTGCCATTTCTGCCTCATGTTATTAGAGTTTAGCGGTGTTTTGGGCCCTGTTTTTAAGTGGAAAGAGATTATCATCTCATCATTCTTTTGAAATTACTATAAATTTACCTAACAGTGCAGGGAAATACAATTTTAGTTAGAAACCTAAAAAGAAAAGGATGTCTGACTTCAATGACTGCATTAGGAAGTTTTCCTCAAAACCATTACAAGATCCTCTTCTACATGTAATCTGATCACTAGAAAAAAACCCCAAAGTAGTAAGAAGAGTGAAGAACATAATTCTTTTTCCAAAATGGTAGTAAACTCTTTGGTTACTCTCAAATTAATGACAGTTCCAACAATTATTTGAACAATTTCAATGCTATCTGCTACGAAAAAGGATACACCAAATTGAGTACTGGGTAGCATATACAGTTTCTCAAAAAAGTTATAGAAAATGTTTTAAAACAAAGTTAATAATGCAGCCAGGCACACAAGTTTAGCTGTGGAGCTAAAGGGCCTGAGAAGGTGTTTTTCTATATGATAGCACAGGATTTTCACATGAGAAAGACCCCAGTACAGGGTGCAGTAGGCCTGCACCTAAAGTGTATGATTTTTATTAACAGAAAATATTGTGCTTACTATGAGATACTTTTTACTGTAACAAACTGGAAAGTCTTACCTGTATAAGTAAGACTTGTATAACATCCAAATTAGTCATACTGCAACACAGTGGCAAAAGGTACCAATGACTACTGAGTTATATTTCATGCTGCTGTGGTTGGGAAAGCAAGTTTCATTCTTCCCAACTCTCCCCCACAAACAAATATTTACTTAATAGTATGTTTTGTATGGGGAAAACCAGACTTCACTACTGCTTCATCTGCCCCAACCTCAACTTTTTGGTAATTTTAGTAATTTTTAGTAATTTTCTTTACATTTTAAGAAATTTATGCACGTCAAATAAAATGATTTCCTATTACATGAAATATTAAAGGAGAATGAAAAAGAAAATTGAGTTTTAATTAGAAAACAGTTTACAGATGAATAATTTAAAAAATGGTTAAATTACTTCAGTTTTTCTAATTACAATTATTTCTGTTCTTTCAAATCAGTTATTAATTAAAATATTTATGTAACCATTTCCTTCTAATTTAAGTGCCTTTTCTTCTTTTTCCCAATTAAGTCTGATAATTTCTCATTCTGCTAATAGAAATACAATTTTCATTAAACTCTTTCACCCCACTCCCCCCAAGAAGGGGGAGAGTGGATGGGGGAGGTGGGAGGGACAGTAATGAATGTAGTGTTCATTGCGGCACAATAAACATTTTCACATTGCTACAGGCAAGACAGAAAGGGCTCAAGTGTTAGAATTGTCAAGGTCAGGCATAGGAAAACCTGCAAAAGGTTTGCTATTCGACAGCATCTTTTAACATTTTTAGTACAGTGAGACCATTTTTTATATTAAGAGCTATTTTAATACATGAACCAACCCTCTCATCTAGGTCAATTTCCAGTCAGGAGACCTACTGAACGTTGTTAAAAACAAATGTGAAACAGGCACGCTGCAGAGGAAATAATTGATAGGAAATCAGAGCATGCAATCCTCAGGTCAGAAAACAATGTTTTCAACTCCACTGCTGTGAGCGAATTAGAGCATCACCTGACAGAAACCAGGGGTTTCTTTTAGGAGTAGGAGGAAGAAAAGAAAGTAGCTACATGGCATCTTGCTACACCTTACCCCTGCTAGTGACTAATGTTTGTAGTTTCATGCACTTAGAAACAGTGGCACTGCCTACTATGTCTCTCTGGAACATCCTTACTTTTCCTTCCAGGTTTCAAATTATACGTCTTTTCCTTACACTTTGCTACATTTTCCCATGAAGGCAGGCTGAGAGAGTTGGGGTTGTTCAGCCTGGAGAAAAGAAGGCTCTGGGAAGACCTTATAGCAGCCTTCCAATACCTAAGGGAGGCTTGAAAGAGAGCTGGAGAAGGACTTTTTACAAGGGCATGTAGTGATAGGACGAGGGGGAACAGCTTTAAACCGAGAGTAGGTTTGGATCAGATATTAGGAAAAATTCTTCACTGTCAGGATGGTGAGACACAGGTTGCCCACAGAAACTGTGTCTGCCTTATCTCTGAAAGTGTTAAAGGCCAGGCTGGATGGGCCTTTTGAGCAAACTGATCTAGTGGAAGGTATCCTTGCCCATGGCAGCAGTTTTGGACCTAGATGTCCTTTGAAGTTTCTTCCAGTGTAAGCCATTCTGTGATTCTATTTCAGTTTTTTGGTTTAGAACAGTGTTGTTTATTTCTGCACTAAAACATAGCAAAGGCTACATGCACAAGTTTACTTAAGAGGCTCTTCAAGGTTGAAACTGTGGTGTAAAAAGAATCAGGGAGCTCTCAAACACATTATACTAGTGAAGATCCATGCTACAGAAATCAGCCAGCACAAAGAACAGACAAAAAGCCAGAGAAAGAACAATTCTCAAAAGCTCTGTCCTAAATAATACAGTAGGATTACTCTGTTTTTATACAAAAGCAGAAAAGATATCATTTGTTCATACCTGTTACAGCGAGAAGGGCACCAAAGATTTTAATCAAAGCTAGAACAAAGGATATGCCAAAATACCCAGTCAGGGAGAAAAGGAATGCATAACCGTAAGTCTGAACTAGATGCTGCAACAATAAAAAAAGCCGGTTAGGAAAATATAAAACAAACCCTGAGGTATTGCAAAATGACATAAAACTACAGACTTTAATCAACTGCTTGAGCAATAATAAGCTGTTTAACAATGCATTCATGCAAAAATCCTTATTTAATTTTAGTTAAATAATGGAAAAATAATAATGAAATTATAAGCTCATAAGTCTGGTCCTGTGATTTTGTTGCTTTTTAAAACATTACCCTATCTTACACACCAAAGACTGGAAAAACTTCCTTAATATATGAATTATACAAGTTAACCAGTTTACACGATGAAAATAGGACTTTAGAGAGAGAAGTGGTGGGATTTTCCAAACCATACAGAAGAAGGTTTTCACGGAGAAAAAGAAATCTTTACACCTACCTTTGAGCAAAATGTTACTGCAGGGCTTAATCCACTAGTGCATGTTAATCCAAATAAAATATACACAAAACCTATTGAATAGGAATACAAAACCTAGAACAGTATAAGAGAAAATAATTACCAGGTGATACTACACAAAAGGATAAAATTAAATGCTTTCAAATGCTTGGCCCTGCTAACATGTTCAGCTTCTCAGAGCTGAATTTGCAGCCTTTGAAGATATTTTTACTAGGATTTCTGTAATAGTTGATGTACAGTGAAAAGTCAATAATAAGTGTTAGACACATTCTTCCTACCCACAACAACATAAAAGAAGTTTGGAAAGCTAGTCAGTTAATAATATCCTGAGGTCAGTGTCAACTGTGGTAAATCCTTCAAGTTCAGGATTTCACAGCCTAAATAAAACTTCACACAACTATTTAGTTTAATAGTCTGAATAACACGTTAAACTTATTTCATTTTCCACTACTTATCCGGCACAGTAAAGATCTGTATTACCTTAAAAGTGCAAAGGGTAGCACAGAATCACCATGAGCTGCCAGAAGTGTCACATTAGTTTCAGCTGTGTCACTTCTGTTCACATACATAGCACAAATGTCTCATGGTTATAGGGCACAGGATTTTCAAATGTGACCAGTTCCGGCCCAGTTCAGCACTTGGAATACTCAGCAAACAGGTAGGTTCTTTATTTTGTCTGCATCCTTATTTAGGAGCCCCTGGTGGTCTAGTGGTAAAGGCCGAGACCCGGGTTCGATTCCCGGTCAGGGCCACTCCCGGGCAGGTGGGGCTCGTTAGCCCTTAAAGGCAACCCACCTACGTCCTAAGGACCTCGCTGCCACCGTCCAAGCTCGCTTGGCCCCGGCAGATGAACCTTAGGATTAAAGGGTGGGCTCAGTTCCGCGCACACTGTGTCTCACCTAAAAAATCCAATGCGCAGGCTGGAAGGTGTAAAGACCTTCCCCGGATCTTCGCTTGCGAAGACTGGCCATTATTTATTATTATTATTATTATTATTATCCTTATTTAATTCATAGTTTCACAGATCAACAAAAGAATCTTCACCCTATCCTTTCCCACACTGAGTCAACAGAATTAGAAGCTGGAACTGCTCATCCACACATCCTCCTGTGCAGTGGGAGGCATTCAAGCTGTTTGTGCAACATTTAGTAGCCTTCTCTTATGAAAACAGAAGACAGCAAACAGAACAGTATTGCCTAGAACAAACTACACAGTATTGCCTAGAATATGCTGATTGTGCTTTCAAAACTCATTGTCAAGAACAGGTGTACTTCTTTTGACATAGGTTTCATCAATTGTTTTCTTGTTACAGTATTCTCAATTATTTGGAAAATAAAACTTTTAACAATTGTTAGCAATGCCACGAGACAACAGAACAATTATCACTGCTTTACAATAAAGGAGGAATACATGTCTAAAGAGCAGACCTGCTTTTATTTGACACTGTTTATACACACAGAAGTCAGTCCCTAGTTCTTCACTTGCCTCTGCATTCAACTTTTCTCCCAAACTGCTGTAAGACCTCTCTTTTCACAACCAGGAATGAGCACCACATTGCTATCTCCTTGTTAGACAGGGTGACATAAAACATACAAGACAAAAATCAGGTACAATCTTCGAGAACAGCAGTTACTATTTCAGTCACAAGATATCTTTTCTCTTTTCATAACTGCTTAATTCCAGGGCAATTTCCAAATTTGACAATGAAACAGAGATCCTGTCAATGACAGGTTTCTTTACCATTCCATTTTATTTCCAGATCACTGTCCATTAAACATGATCTCTGATTCAGATGCAATTTTTACCCCCAGTCTCAAGAACAGAACATGACTTCTAAAATTCTGCTGGCACTTCTGCACTGAATTTCTAAACAAAATCCTCTAGTAACCTCTAAGCCTCAAACAAACAAAACCTTTACATTCTTAATCATTACACTCATCCTCTACAAGTAGTATGAGTATAAAATATCAGGACCAACATTTGTCAGACTGATGTGGAATAAAAGCAAAGTCCTGGAGTTATCAGGACTTTCATAGGTAAGACAGCAACAACTGTCATATGACTGCTGGGAAGATGTAAAGAAGGCAAGAAAAGCGGGCAGATTGTACTTTAGTTTGGATTTTGGAGAGGACAGTTGTAGGAAGCTGCACTGGGCAGGTGAGGTCCATGTAGCTAAAATCTCTGCCTTCAGCAGCAGTCAACAGTGAATTCTAAGAAAAAGTACAAAAATAAAAACAAGAATACAGTGACACTTCTAGGTATATATTCTTCCACTTTTCAGACACTTGTAGCTCAAATGTCTTGAGCCATCCTAAATCACTTTCAGCCCTAAACGAAGATGCCTTTTATCTAACTTTTTCTCCATTTATGAAGCTATGTTCATAATGAGAAACTAGATCTTCTAGTTAAATGTCAAATAATGTGCCAAATATGGAAAATAAATTCCAGTAAGTTTTTACTTGTGGTATATTCAAATCATGCCTATTATAATAAAAGATTTACTTGTATTTACTGGACTTCACAGGAAAATATGGCAAATTCAAACATAAGTTTAGTCAAAAAAGAAAAATAACCTCAGATCATATGAAAAGATAATCCATATTCCAAGTAAGTATACAAAAAATGCTGAGCAAGACTTTTGCAAAATTATGTATTTCACTGAATCAGGAACACACATTCTAAAAGTCAGAGTTTTACAGATTTCAAAAGATTCAGAAAATGCTAGCATACTCTAGAATTGGAAGTCTAGTAAGTGAGAAAAGTGACATGTTCCATATAACACATGCTCAACTATACCAGAAGTACAGTATATATTTTTCAGAGATTAAGCATATGATCATAGAGAAAACACTCCATTGATTTCAGGCCTGCAGGGTAGACAAAGGAATTGTTGCCAGAAATGAGTGCTTCTGTAGCTGCAAGATACATTTGAAGTTGCACACAGAAAGCAGCACTCTTGAAAGGTTGAAAAACAAAACAGAAAACCAGCAAAAGTCCCCAAAGAAACAAGTAGAGAACCCCAAGAATAGTACACCAAGAGCTTTTTCTTTCATAAGCAAGACAAAAGCATATTGAGTTTCATATTTTGTCATTGTAGGCCTTGTCTATGATAGATCATATTCTTTTAAAATTGCAAATCTGGTATTTACCATTTCTGAATTAGAACCATTGTGCAACTTCATAGCTTTTTCCTGTACATTTCCTATAACTGCATCTGCGCAGAGGGCAAGGGATATTAGGACCACACCTAATATAAGAAAACAAACAAACAAACAAAAACCTGTTCAGAATATTTATCATCAGAGTAGTGACAAAAACCACTCTGTACTCATCCTGAAAAAAAAAAAAAATCTCAGGAATAGAAAAATAATAACACCCCCCCTCTATAACTTATTCTAAATGTCAGCAAAAATATTTCATTACACCAGTACAAAGCAGTGCCCACGTCCACTCCCTCCACTAGTTAACTCCTGAGCACTGTGTGTCTCTAAGCTTTATGGGAACATCCGGACACTGCTATAAAGAAGTCAGCTGTAGTTTTTGTAGTAACAAGAGTGAAAGAGTGTCAATTGCATTTAGTTAGGTATTTTTAATGAAGATAAATAGCCAGAGAACACACTCTTTTTCAGTAGTTAATCCCCCATTATTTTTCTTCCTGACAAAGGCAAATAGAAACTTTAGATGTAATGGTAAAACAAATACAAGAGGATTCATAGTGGAAATCTCTAATTACTGAAACATCTCTAATTACTGAAACCCCACTCTTCGGGTACAAACCCCATGGTTCTAGGTTACCATATATGCTCAAAACAAAGTCACTACACAAGTCAATAATGTAATCAGCTTTCCAATAACAAAAATAACCCTTTATCCCTGTCAATCACAATTCATTTCCCAAACTCCAAACTCCGATTCTTTCATGACTGTTGTATTTAATGATCCACACATTTTGAAATACCACTTTTCCTAAGTATACATTACAAAAGATATTAATCATCAAAATCATATTTTCTGTCTGCTGTAGTCTTGGTTCCTTAAAAAAATCATGTCAGGCAAGAATCAGGAGTGGAAGACTACAAACAGGCAGTGTTATATTTTCTTCATGTGATGTTCTTACAATCAGAGGTCTCAAAAGAGGCATTCAGATGAAGTATAAGCTCCTGATAGAGAAAAAAAAAATCCTAGTTCCTAGGATTTTCAGAAATGGAAGATTTAACATTTTTAAGACACATGAAGTTTAAGGTGGCATTTCCTTGGCAAACTTCTGAATATATGAGAACTTCTAAACCCAGCATTTTTGTTTTGGGAACCATTTCCTTTCCATGCTAGACTTTCTAGGTCTCTTCATCCCTCAAAGTCATCAGGCCTTGAAAAAGGTGTGACTCAATGGAAAACCCACGATAGCATGAATAATATCGGTTATGCTAAAGATACAGATATCTCATCTGCATGGATTCAGCTCTGGTCCAAAGATATAATAACACCTCCAGCTCAGCAACAGCCTTGCTGCAGATCACTTCTGTAAAGTGGCAGAGCATGTCTCATCTGTGTTCTCCATCATGCTTGTTCCAGTAGTGCTTAAGGGACCAGGCACACCACTGGACAAATGCACGGGTTCAGTACTGGACCAAGATGAAAAGGTTACCTGGAATCTGAAGCACAGGCGTACACAGGGAGGAAAAATGTGGGAACAAGACAAATGTTAGTCTCACGTCCTTACACAGGCTGGAGCGTAAGGGGAACTGTTCCATTCATTGTGGTAGCGCTGCACCTGCCGAGCAGCAGCAGCAGCAAAACCATGAACGAGACCAGCAGTGTTAGACAGCATGTAAAGCATGAGTAAAGATGATTGGAAAACCTGGTCCCAAATCAGTTCTGAAAGAAACCCACATGGAAACAGCTCTAAATAAATCACTGGAATGAACTCAGGAACTGCCATTTGAGAAAGAAATTCAACTAAGCTTTTAAACCCAAGCAGGTTTTCACTTTGCTTCTTTTAGACAGTATAAAAAACTCAGAATGTGGGCACTCCACCTAAAAACTACAGCAAAACTGAGTGAGATCTTCAATTAATAGAAAGTAAATGGTTCTGAAATGGAAAAAGATTTAAAAGTTTAACTAGAAAAGACAACTAATCATTTGAAGTTTTAAAATGGTCCAACTGAATTTTATCACATTCATTTTAACGTATTTACTGCGGTAATTATTTCTTGAGAACATGCATGAGACATTTCAAACAAAAGCGTGGGATTTCCAGAAATGTTAGGAACCTCAAAACTTAACGCTTGGAATAAAGGTCTCTTCTGCCACCGATAGGACTTCTGCTAGTGCAAAGTTTCATTGTAACTTGCAATTTCTGTACAATATCTGAAGGCACTCCACCAAGAACTCACAGAACTTCTATGGAATGTTTATTGTAGGAAAAAAACAAGCACTTTCCTAAACTCTAAAATATAATATATCTTTACCTGTCAAATTGAAGTTCGGTGCAACTGTGCTGTCAGCTAAAGTAAACCATATTAATCCAAGACTCATACATAGGGCAGCAGACACATCTACAATGTTATAACGTTTTCCTACAAAAGCAATACAAACAGCATGAACAGATTGATAGCACTCTCAGAATTTCATGTTTATCCTGTTTAACAGACTAGGAGGCAAAGGAAACACTGTTCCAACTCTTCTACTTAAACAGAGGACTTAATGCTCTGGTCTTTCATGAATGGAATTAGTTTCTTCTGCAACAGCAGTTTGTAACATGCAGGAGGATCCTAAGAGGTAGCATCTGATGCTTTTGGTCAGTTTTGGTTTGACTCCTAACGACATAACACACGTCCTCCCCAAAAAAGCATTCTTCACTAGCAACTTCAGGACAGCTTAGATGTTTTCTTCATACTTTCCCCTCATGCAAGACATTTCAGCTGTCTTTACTGATCAGAAAGAAGCCAAATCCAAACACTAACAGACAACTGGTACTTCTAGAACCCTACACTGTCTTTTAGTTTGGGAAAGATGAGATGTGGAGAGGGACGGAAAAACAGAGTAAGGAAATAAAAGGCAGGAGTTAGTTTATCTTGTTTGAAATAATATATTCCTTTTGCAGAAGCTGTGCTTTCAGTATGAGCTTCCAAGGGAGTTTTTTTGAACTGATTTCTTTTTTTACAATAATATTAAAAAAATAAAATCACAGCTTCTGAGAATACTATACTACCACAACACAATATAAAGTTTCCAAAAGCTTTAAGAGAATACCAGTCATTTTGAGTTAAAATGATACAAAATTCCTCCTAATAAAAGGTAAATATTGTGTGTGCATATGCATATGTAAAGTTCTAACCTTCTCTGAAAATTCAGCTTTCTTTTGCAACCAGAAGGCCAGAATTAACTACAGAAACAGAAATACAGCATTCTAGACTTTGTTCTATAACACTTGCCCATGTGGAGCTTTACTCATTGAATCTTTGTGCACTGAACAAACAAACTTTTATATTTGTCTTCTAAATCCAGAAATACATAAGTATATTTTTTCACATAACTATAACCTTTATCTGTTTTTCTCCAGATCCCTTTTTACCTTCTTGGAATATGAACTATGACTTTAGGACTAGCCAAAGACATATAAAACCAGGTGTATTTCTGATTAAACATTCAATCAAAAGTTAGGAATTTTTATCAAGAATTTAGGGATTAAGATCTGCAAACAAGAAGAGTAAGGGATTTCTTCACAAATCATGGTTGGATTTTTCCATTTCAAGTTTTCCATTTCAGTATTGAAGGTGTTTCATATATGATGTGATATGGTTTATAAAACAAAGTTACATTTCTTAAAAATTAAGAAGGCTTTTGTAAAAGTGAAGTTTTGCCAGTGACCTGTAGAACAGTCTTCCCCCACATTTTCTGTTCATCCAATTATATTTTCTGAGAAGATGCTTTAGAAATTCTCATTTTTTTCCCTCCATAGAAAAAACAGTACCAGTGGAATTTAATGAAGTACAGGTTTCCATATATAATTGCCTCCCAAAGAAACAATAAAAAATTCATCTAAAAGCAAGACTAACACTTACCTTGTATAAAAACCCCGCCTATCATTACTGGAATGAGCTTACAGCACTTGAAGATGACTTGAGTAGGGTAATTCAGATATCCTAAAGAGGTATTTGACAAACCCATAGTTCCCACTGTCAAAAATGCTATTATCATGTAGGTTTTGCCAGGTATTCTACAAAATATAAACACAGGAATCTTGGTGTTGCAGACTCATCTAGAGGAGATTTAGCTTGGAAAATTCAGATAAAGAAATACGTTGGTAATACAGCTTCAACATCTTTCTCACTGAATTTCAGTTCATAACAGAAATTTTAAGATGTACATAAACGTCTGATTTCATATTGCATTTCTTACAATTACTGTGAATAAACAGCAATCAAATACAAGACAATAAAAACTTCATGGCTCATGAAGTATTAAAGCAGTAATTCTTTAACCTCCTTTAGAGAAGGTATATTGTTTACACATGAATCAAGACAAAGGCTTCGGGTTATTTGTCAAGGGGAACACAGAAGATTCGTATACCAAGATATCCTGAATCTTAGTCCTGTCAGGTCACTGTGCCAATTTTTCTGGTGACGTTTTCACGTGAACCTTGACACTTTTAAAATGAAGAAAGTTGAAAAAATACCGTTGTTTTATGAAACTAAGTAAAACTAAGAGAGCAGTGATTCAGTTACTGTGAACAGAGGGGCTTGTTGAACATTTTCAGATGTTTTGTTCACAATTTTATGAAATTATCACCTGACAGCAGATGATCCAACAGTAATTTTTAGCAATTGCTGTGCTCACTTTGTGATTTTTTACAGTTATTGACGTACATATGTTCAGATTTTTCTTTATGCATATTTGGAGACACATTAAGCAACATAAGGAGCTGTATTGCTGTAATCCTGTTTCATCCATAACTCATTACGTGATGCAGACATACTCTGAGGCATGCAAGAAAAATTTAAAATTTAACAGATTTCTGTATGTCTACAAGAAGATGGCTAGGTGATAGAAAATAAAATGTAAAATATATTTAAGATCTATATTTCCTAACACAACTTACTTAAAGGGGCATGCTCTGTAAGCATTATCAATTATTTGGTACTAAAAAACCTAAATACTAGTAACAGAACACCCAAAAGGTAACTACGCAATATTATCTGATGAATCTCAGAAAGTCAGATAACCTGAAATATAAACTGTCAGTGTTTAAAATAAAAGGAATAGTTTATCAAAGTTATGTTGTTTGGATACAATGGAATTCTATAAGCTAAAATCAGTTTTTGCAAAATAATCCAAGGTTGACTCTGGGTAAGGAAAACTACTTATGCTCAACTAGGATATAAGGCAATCTTAAAATTTATGTACATCAGGTTGAACAACCTCTGTTCAACCCTCCAGAGGGCCTCAATATACAGTTTTCAGAGGCTGTAGTGGGTGGGAAGCCATAGAATGGCCACACTGAGGCAGAACAAACTATCCTGTGGGAGACAACGTGGAATACATGCAATGGAAACATTCCCCGCAATCCTGTCACTACCCCATACCCATAGGATTCAAATCAACAAAAATTTCCTTGGTCGACTGCAGTGCAAACACAGAAGAGTTTTGTGGCAGGGTGTTATGAGGGCTATCTTAAATGAAAACCACAAAACCTCAGCATATCCTTTGATGCAAACCTACCCAGCCACACGGTAAACAGACAGCAGAGCTCTGATACTCTCCGAGATGCACAGCATGCTGGAGGAACCTTTTGGTGAGGAGGTGCCAATATTTGAGGAAAACATATTAAATGACAGATGGCTTCAGGTGCATTGGCTCTATTCTACACGTGATGATCCCAAGCAACAAATACATGAGTCAGTCTCTATCAGCTACCTTAAGGATTCAATATGCTCTGTAAGTGGGACAGAGTGACAGGAGAGTCAACAAAACTACTTGCAGGTCTGAAATCTAAGTGGGTGCTTATAAAACATTTTCTAACATTGTCCAGCAAATTCACTTTTATGGAACTGCTACCGATGCCTCACAGTACTCACACTCAAACAACAGAAGTTAAATCTACTATAAATGTAAAATGATTCTAACTTGATGGACAGTGGGTAAAATGCTTGGAAAAACACATACCTTCTCCTTTTGTCCTGAATCAACTGCAATTCTATTAGTCCAAAAATGGAATAAAATCCAAATTGCACTAAAGTGAGGTACCAACCAAAAGGTTTAAAACCTTCCACTGAAAATATCAATTCCTATAAAAACAAAAACCCACCAAGGTCATGTACATACACCAAGATATTGAATTGACAAAAAATCAACAGAGTTTTTTCCTTCATATACATGCAAATCTAGCCTTTGCACCTGCCAGACATAACTTGCACGTAGTGAAAAAGACAATTTAGATTTCCAAAATGCAAGTAAGAAAATTTACCGCTGGTGTAAATACACTGAAATTAATGGATCAATTCATCGGGGAAATACATCTGATCAATTCATATTTATATCAGATTATAGATGGCTTCCTGCCTGCTTTTCTCTTGCTTTTTTTTCAGTTCATTTTCATCAGTAGAAGATTTTACTTGTTTTTATCTTTATCTCATTTATCTTATTTATAAATATCATGTAATAGGTTAAACACAAACCTTCTCTAGCAAACATACTGATGTAATTTTCACACCTAATATTTTGAGTGCCTACATTAAATAGCACTTGTGAGTGTATAAATTTGCAGGCTGTAGGAATATTTTAAACCAGAGCAATTTGTTATGGAAAAATACATGCACTGCACAAAGATTTTTGTAACTGTGTCAGCTACAGAAACAAAAGGTTACCTAATATTTTCCTTTTTGAGATTCTGCTTTCAATTATTGATAATGTTGTCTAACTCTTTCAAAGTAACTTTACATTAAAAATATATAAACTTTATTGTATCTATTTATATATATTTTGTATACATATTTTTATATAATATATATTTAAATATTTATATTTCGCTGCTTTTGAAAACTGTATTGGAAACAGGGTGATTTTTAATTATCAACCTTTAAAATCACTGCTTTTAAACTCAAAAATATCTAAAAAATGGGAACAGAAATGTAGCTGTTCAAGATAAAAGAGAAAAGGTAAACAGAAAATTAAATGTTTAACTAAAATTGCATAAACATTATGCTTCCACTAAAGAAACTACCACAGTACATTTCAGCTCTGCTCTGAGACTAGAGAGAGAAATAAGAGAACTATGACTCTACAGCACTCATGGAACTTTGAGAGCTCTAAAGGTTTCGAGACCAATGAAGACTTAGGTCTATCTTGCACATGGGAGTAAAGGATCAAGTCAAGAAAGTAAAGTACAAGTGATCTAAAACTTGTAGGCACATGAACTATAAGGAAACTCAAATTATACAATTACTTGATGCTCTTGAACACTGAAAGCTTGACTTGGCAATAATATCTAGGTTAAACATCTATACATATTAAAATACATACTATATTATTATGGTATTGAAAAAAAAAAGGAGTAGGAGGAATTTGCCTAAGACATGAGTATACAGTATTTACCTGTAAATATCCATAGATTAGATAAAACATAAAAACTCCAGAAACACAGATGAAAAATTGAGTAGGTTTGTTAAATTTGCTGAGATTCATGCCAAGAACTACGACATCATCCACTGATTTGATATGAGGAGACATAGTTTGAGATTTGGAAGGTACACTGATGGAAATGTATTTTCTTGATGAAGCGAATTTCAGATCCATGGTTCCTGGCTCGCTGCATTCGATGCTATTGTTATTCTCTTTCTGCTTTTCTCTTTCTGTGTGTCTTCTGTCTGAAAGCTGAAAGAAATGCTAAAGTCAGATAAGACATAAAATACAGCCCATCAACAACAGTAAATGAATGTGACATTTATAGAGTAAATATAAAGATTTCAGAATTTTGCTGGATTGTTTCTATTAATAAATTTTATTTAGCTTTTCTGATGTCCAAAGTTAACACCAGTTACTTTGTTAACACCAAAGTTAACACTTTACAAAAGAACTTTTGCTTCATGTGGGGAAGTAGTATTCTTGCACTCTAAGAAGCAACCAAACCAATGAACCAAACCCAAAACATCGGCAACAGAAAACCAGCTTCAGTAGCTTTAAGTAGTCCAGTGTCACTCACAGGAGTGACTGCTCGGGAGACAAGTGATCCCTATGACCAACTCACAGCAGAAGAACTCGTTTGAAGCACTGTGGTTCTGCCTACTACACTTCATTTTCACAGCAAAACACACCAGACTAGACCACTACATTGGAAACCTTGCTAAGAACTACAGATTTGAGCCTATGAATGATTAAAAGTGTTGAAGTGGAAGAAGTTACCTCGCCCCCCATTCTCACATTTATTCACTATTTCTCACAACTTCTGCAGAAAACAATGTGGAGATGAAACAAACAGACTGAAAAGTCAGTCTCAGAAATGCCACTGTTTATTTGATGAGGTCTATGGTATGGCAATCCCTTTAATATTTATCACATACAGCTCTTGCCATGTGTAACAGAAAACAAAAGTGGACGACAGAATCCCAGACAAGGAATTTAGCAGCTTAGTAAACTGAGATGCAAATAATTCTGTTCTCCAGCTCCGCAGACAGTATGATGTTTAAGGCTTTTTTTTCCTTTTGACCCTCAAGATAAACACAGTGGTCAGTCAACTGTCCCAAGACTTTTAAGTGTTGGTCAGCATCTAACACAGTGAGCAGTCAATAATTAAGCTCTGTTTCTCTCAACTATTAAGTGGTCTGTTTTCCCCAGCTCAAGAATAATTCTCATCACACATGTATAAACAATGCTTTTTCCATTGTTTTTAAACAGAAAATGTGCTAGCATATTAACACTAGATCATGCAATAAATGTAGTCTGCAGGGATGTTGCAACTTATTATACAATATATTACGCAAGAAATTACAATCTTAGCTGAAAAATTAAGGACTAGCATAAAACTTGCAATGTGCTTATGTTTCCTTTTTTTCAGACAACCTACTATCAGGCTGGAACAAGACTCCTACCAGAGTTCTGAAAGAACAGGTTGGGGAGTATAACAGCGGTTTAGGAACCATAATAACTATTTGTGCTTAAAGTCATAGCTCTTCAGTTGAAGATCGAAAGTGAGAGGTAGAAAGTTTAGCCTTGTGGATTGTTAGCTTACCCTAAAATGAGATGGCCATTAAAAAAAAAAAAAGGGGAAAAAGTTTAAGTAGGCTATTTTTAATAAAGATAGAAAAGTACCAACATCAGGCAATAAGGCATGAATGAGCATTCATGTATAATATCACAGAGTTCTGATCACCCTAAAAGACATTAAAAGAACAACTGAAAAAAAAAGGTTATCAGGATGGAGGAACAGATTACCTGTCTTAGGAACGGAAATTAGATGACAGTGTTACTTGTCTAGCCTAGTAAAACCCTGATGAAAGGAAAACAGACTTTCTTTCAATAAAATTATCAAGTGATTACCACGAAGGAGAAAAAAAAATAATTCTAATTTTAAGGACAGAAGAATGAGAGCAAGTGGGCATACAGTGATCATGAACAAACTTACCCAAAACTAGCTTTCCATCTCTAGACTATCTGCATTCTAGAACAGCCTAAAAATGAAAGAAGGAACAACTCAGGTGTTTGTTAAGGTGAAGCTTAAGGAAGTAATTATATAGAGCTGTTGAGACTGGGCATGATGACTGAGCACCCCCCTTTAATCTCATGTTTATGGCATCTCAACACTATGGAAAGTAGAGTAGTAAAGGTGTCTGTAGAAGATACTCGGCGATCCTATTTGATCACTAAATCTAGGACGTGAAATACTACTCTCTCCAAACAATTGCAGGCAAAGTTAGGACTTCTAAGTTCAAGCCCAAAGAGCAATTTTCCATGAAGGAAATTAATATAGTTAAAAACCTATTCACTGTTGGCATCTCAGCTCAACTTGTATTTTTGCTGATGGCTGTTCAGATCTTTCCTGTCCAGTGTACACTTCCTTTTGACAGTCACACTTTCTCAGCAGGAGAAATTAAAACTGAGTATGACATATGCCCAGGAGAAGACACAGCCAGGTACTGTCATGGGTGTTTCATGAATCCAAAAACTGAGTGAATTGTGTAATGTATATTTTTATACCTACATTTTTCACTTTGACTACAAATCTAAATATTATTTGTGTTACCTGAGTTATCATTAGAAGAAGTAGAAGTAGAGGGAAGAAGAAATAAAAAGTGTATTTATGCATTGTGTCTGGCTGAGATGGAGTCAATTTTCTTCAGAGCTGCTTGCATGGTGCTGTGTTTCAGACTTGTGACCAAAATGATGCTGATAACACAGTAATGTTTTCACAAGCAGGAGAAGGGGCACAACCAGACAGATGACCTGAACTAACCAGAGATATTCCAGGCTATAAATTCTCATGCTTGGCAATGAAAAGCGAGAGGAGGGGGTTCAGGGAGGCTAGCCAGCTTTTGCTCAGGAACTGAATGGGTGTTGGTTGATCTACCTGTGGGAGAAGGGATTGCCTTTACATCATCTGTTTTGTTTTGTGTCTCTTTGTCCATTTTTCCTCCACTTCTTAAACAATTTTTCTCTCAACCCATAAATTTTCTTTTTTACCCTTCCTTTCCTCTTCCCCCATCCCTCTGGGGTTAGCGAGGAAAGTAAGCAAGTGGCTGTGTAGTGCTTAGCTGCCTAGTGGTATTAAACCACACAATTAACACAATCTTTTCAATTTTCAACTATTTATTTTCAACATATTTCCTCAGGAATGCCATCAGATTTTACAATCTGTTCACTTAATTTCTTGCAGATGACTGAGTCTATCATCAAAGTAGGAAGAAACAATACTGATCACTCTAGTCACGCCCACGGTCATCCATAAAACAATGATACACAGTAATTGTTTTTCTCTACATCCTGCAAAAAACATTTCAAGGAACATTATTTAACAGCTGAAGAAACTGTAAATGTATGTATCCATTTGAAACGCCCTCCACCAAGTAATTTCATTATCAACAGTGACAGAACTCTTCTGAAGTTCACTGTGACTTCTCAAACTGTTACTATTTTAAGTATGAAAAATGTTATTCATCCCCCTCTCGCCAAAATCCCTCAAGCAACTAATTCACCTCTTGAACGAACAGGCAGCAAAAAGCTGTTGTACGAAGAGTCAAGTGGCGTAAGAGCTGTCCTGATGTGTAAAATACCAAATTCCCTCTTTTGTTTTTTTTCCTCTTGTGTGTAAAAAACGTAAACAACACATTCTTAAAATCAAAGACTTTGTTTCTTCCCCTCTAAAAAAAGTCCCCTGCAGAGCAGGGGCACAAATTAGTAATTATTACGCAAAAAAACAAACAAATGAACAAGTGACTAGACAAGAAAGGTTTCTCTGGCCTCCAAAAAGTTAACTTTTACCAAACATGGAAAAAACATTATGGAGGGGCTGGGGCTTTTTTTTTTTTTTTTTCCCACCTTGAAAAACATCAGTTGAAAACATAATTTTGTCAGAATCTAGCACCTCAGCACACTCAGGAAAACTGCCCGCCTGGGCCACGCAAGGAAGTTCCACGTTGGCCTTGGCCATGATCCATTTCCTCTGGAAACACCGCCAGAGACGCTCGGTGGCAGGACAGCAGCGGGCACCGCAACAGGGATGCTCCCGGGTAACAGGGACGAAAAGGCACATCTGCGAGGGAACCCGAAGGGATACTTTGCTCCACGGTCCCCACCTCCTGCCCCGGAGGCAGAAGAGGGAAGGGAGACAAGGTCCATCACGATCCCTGGAGCTTCCTCCTCCCGCCCTCCGAGCTGCCGGGGGCTGTCCCACGCCAGGTGCAGCCCTGCCCGAGCACCTGCCAGCTGTCCCGGGCAGGGCTGCCACGGAGGCTGTCCAGTCGCCACAGGTCGCCATTCCTGGCCCTTCCCCCCGGGAATGGAACCGTCCCACTGCCCGCGGACGCCGCCGCCTCGGACCGGCCGCATCCCTCCCGCCGGCCACAGCCACACTCCCGCCCCTCCGGCTCCGGCTCCTGCCCCCACCCCGGCGCCCCTCACCGTCGCGCCCATAGTCCCCCGACGCCGGGTGACGCTTCCCAGGAAGCGACCCCGCCTCCTTCCCGCTCGCCCCCCGTCCCTGAGGGAGGGAGGGAGGGAAGGAGGAACGGCCCCGCCCCCGTACCTGTCCGGCAGGCGAGGAGGGGCAGGGCGGCCCCGGCCAGCCGCCCTCCGCCAGCCCGTGGCGCCCTGCCTGCCTGCCTGCCTGGCTCCCGCCGGGATCGCTCCCTGCTCCAGCGCCCCGCGCCGCAGGAAGTGGCCGCGGGAATGCGCCAGGCGCCGCCGCGAGCACCGAGCGCATCGAAGCAGCGCGGTTCGCTCGCTCGGCGTTCTGCTACCCGGCCTGGGGCGGGGCGGTGGCGACGCCCCCGGCTCCGCCCCCGCGTGGGCGGGGCCTCGTCAGGGACCGCCCACCGCGCCGGAGGGGCGGGGCCGGGCGGGGCTCCCGATCCCGGCTGGAATCGACTGAGCCTGGGGAATTGTTCTTGGCATGCCCCTCGGGGTCGGCGGGGATCGCAGGCTCACAGAGTTAGTTAGGGCTGGAAGGGACCTCTGAAAGTCATCCTGTCCAGTACCCCCACCAGGCAGGGTCACCTAGAGCGGGTTACACAGGAGCGTGTCCAGGTGGCTGTGGAATGTCTCCGGAGAGGGAGGCTCAGGACCTCCATGGGCAGCCTGTTCCAGCGCTCAGACGCCCTCAGCGTAAAGAAGTTCTTCCTCATGTTGAGGTGGAGCTTCTCGTGTTTCAGTTTATGGCCATTGCTCCTTGTCCTGTCGCTGGGCACCACTGAAAAGAGTCTGGCACCATCCTCTTGGCACTCACCTGTGAGATACTTATATTTATATGCATTGATGAGATCCCCTCAGTCTTCTCCAGGCCCAGCTCCCACAGTCTCTCCTCGTAAGAGAGATGCTGCAGATCCCTCATCACCTTTTGTCCTCCACTGGATGCTGTCCAGTATCTCCTTGTCTTTCTTGTGCTGAGGAGCCGAGAAATGGACACAGTATGCCAGATGTGGCCTCACCAGGGCTGAGCAGAGGGGGAGGATCATCTCCCCGACCTGCTGGTCACACTTCCCAGTGAACCCCAGGATACCACCGGCCCTCCTGGCCAATAACTTTGCCATGTGCCCTGTCCCACCTCAGCACAACAGGATGTGGAAAGGAGCCTGGGGCAGTGGGAACCCGGGAGGACCTGAGGGGCTCCTTGCCTACCTGCACCCCTGTGGCCACCTGGACGGGGCACCGCAGTGACAGGGGCAGGTGTGAAGGTGTCACTGGGCAGGTGTGAAGGTGTCACCTCCCTGCCCAGGTGTGGTTTGGTCAGCGCTGCTTCACGTCTGCCATGAGCAGGATCACCTTAGTGCTCTGGAAAACGGGGGCTGACCGGATGGAAAGTAGCTCTGTGGAAAAGGACCTGGGGATCCTGCTGGACAACAAACTGTCCATGAGCCAGTGTGTCCTTGTGGCCAAGAAGGCCGATGGAATCCTGGGTTGTGTTAGGAAAAGCATTGCCAGCAGGACAAGGGAGGTAGGTGATCGTGCCCCTCTATTCAGCCCTGGTGAGGACACATCTGGAATGCTGTGTCCACTTCTGGGCTCCTTAGTAACAGAGAGACATAGAGCAGGTGCAGTGGAGAGCAACAAGGGTAACTGGGGGACTGGAGCATCTTTCATGCTGAAAGGCTGAAGGAGTTGGGCTTATTCAGCCTTGAGAAGAGATGACTGAGAGGGGACCTCATTAATATGTGTAAATATCTAAAGAGTAGGTGCCAAGAAGATGGAACCAGGGTCTTCTTGGTGGTGCTAATCACTAGGACAAGAGGCAATGGGCAGAAACTGATGCACAGGAAGTTCTACCTAAATATGAAGAAGAAATTCTTTGCTGTGCAGGTGACCACACACTGGAACAGATGGCCCAGAGGCATTGTGAAGTCTCCCTCAGTGGAAATACTCAAGAACCATCTAGATGTAATCCTGTGTCATGACCCTTCCTAAACAGGGAGGTTGGATCAGATAACCCCATTTTGGTCTCTTCCAACCTGACTGATGCTGTGATTCTGTTAAAAGCCTCAGGAGAAAAGCCTCACTGTTTCATGCTGCAGTGAAATCGAGACTGTTTAGAATCCTTGACAGGTTCTGTTCTGGGGTTTGGTTGATGCTCTGCTGTTCTGATCTGTGCAGTGGAGCACCCATGCAAAGCTACTGCCTTCATAAAAAATGGTAAAAATGTATTGCCAGGGAGGCCTTCTTGTGATCTATAAGTGTGAGGCTGCAGGTAGGAAATAATAAAGGTATTTAATAATGACAAGCAAAAAGGTAGATAAGAGCAATAACAGCAGAATGCATAGAGAGCATAATGGCCAAAGGAATCAGGCAAAGAGCTGGAAAGAAAGGTAGATAAAGGCATTTTTTTGAAAATGTGCAAATGAGATGTAACTTGAAGATACATAAAGTCTAGTTATTGTTAATCATGTTAGGCTATGCTGTGTTTTCTGTAACAATATGCAGAACTATTTAACATTATATCTAACCACTACAGAACAATAGATATGTATTTAGGAAATTCAAGCTTTTATGTTTACACTGTTTTAAAAGTTTTCCTTTACCTTTTCCAGTGCCAGCATAGTGAATAAGTATGTATTATAGACACTAGCAACAAGTGCACCAGCATTTAAAATAATATTTTTAATGGTATCTGGTAAGTGACAAACATCAAAAAGAAAATGTGTAGTTTGCGTTGAGTTAAAAAAAAATCAAAAAAACCCAAATAAAAATTTGAACCTTTCAGCAAAATAACTGTTTCTGAAAAAGGGATTGTTGAGAAAAATACTTTTGAGAGGTTCTTGGTTTGGATTTCCTTTACCTGGGTTGAGGGATTTCAGAGTTAGCAAACATTGCGTTTTTTTGCAACAATACAGATAGTGCTTTTCTCTGTCTCAGTGACAGAAGTAATGACCACAGTGATTCAAGTAAATATATTCAAGCTTGCACGTGACCAGCTGGCTTCCTATAAGTTCTCTGGATAAGTCATCTGTAATAAAACTTACTGTTATGGATGTAAGTGGAGTGATTACACAGGAAGTTCCCCCTGAACATGAGGAAGAACTTCTTTACTGCGCAGGTGACCGAGCACTGGAACAGGTTGCCCAGAGAGGTTGTGGAGTCTCCCTCACTGCAGATATTCAAATACTGTCTGGACACAATCCTGAGTAATGTGTTCTAGGGGACTCTGCTTGAGCAGAGGGGTTGGACCAGATGACCTCTGGTGGTCCCTTCCAACCTTACCCATTTTGTGCCTTGATGACTCAGAAACAGGCAGAAAGCAGGAAAAAGCAAACTGCACCACTAAATTGGATTGACTAAGTAACCTTTAACTGGATGGAAGGAACCTGGGTGGATGGAAGGCTCTTGACTAATAAGAGCGCTGAGGAGAGACACCCTGGTAGAAGTGGTCTGATATTGCCTAATATCTGAGATTTGTGCATATCTTATTGTAATTTTTTTTTAATTCAGAAAATTATTCTATTTCTATTATCCCTATTCCATCATTCAAACTGGAGAAAGTGTAGAGTGGGGTGTATGCTGGAGAATGTTCTCTTTAAATAAAGCAGAAGAGTAAATGATGAGTAGGATGTTTATTATTGATCTCACAGATGCTTTTGCAGTCTGCAATATGAACACGTATGGATTACTGGTAAAGCTGGAAAGCAAATTACATTTTCTTTTATCGCTTGTAAAAATGAAGTTAGGGCTTATGAAAGGTACTGGATTCAGGCTCTGGGGACTTAACTTCTCTGTTTATCCAGGAAATAGATATTGTACATCACAAGCAGAGGCAGTGGAAGTATTAAAGATCTCAAAGTTCTCACACTGCCTTGTCTGTACTTCTCCTTCTTGACCGACTCAAGGTGCCAATGAGGAGGCTTAGTCTGTGCACAGACTTAATCCTGTGTTTTAATTCTGGAATACATAAGTGAAGGTACACAATAATGCTGTTGGCTGAAGTTTTATTGACAAGAGCTTTTGTTCACTACAGTCCAATTTAGAAATGCCAACTTCATAATAGGCTTTGCTGCCTTTTGTGTCTAGCTGAGATTGTTTTCCCGCTTCTTTGACTATGAGCATTTCTAATTTTCAGTGGTGAAATGATACCCATGTACCCATGCCCTATATAGCAGGTTGAGAATTAACCAGAACAAAGGTGTTAGGCATCTTTTCTTAGCAGAAGGGTACACAAATAAGGAATATTTATAACAGGTGTGCATTTTGCAATTTGCTGATGGGTTAGGGACAGTAATATCTTTGTGGTATAGTGTGTATTCCTATTAAGAATTTAAAGGAGTAAAATATATTTCCTGTGTGTGCAAATATTACCCAGTCAGATATGTTTCCCCATGAAACGTGTGCATAGGTGTGACATGTGCAGTAGTGACACAAGTATCCACAAATATATAACCTGGGTGATAAGTAAATGAAGTTAATGAAGCAGAACAATGAGGGGTTTTGTTATAGTTCAGCATGAAAGGCAAATTAATACCATTTTCAAATGCTTGAAGCCACCCTCTCAGATCTGTGTGTTATTGGTATAAATAATTTTAAAATCTGCTATGTTGAATAAATCATGACATATGCAAATGAGGATCCAGTTTGCTAGTCTTGAAACAGCTAAACCCAATGTAATTTACTGGTTTAATATCTTTACCAAAAATGGGAATTACATGCAAAGCAGCCAATTTTTTCTGTGAAAATGTTTTTGGAGTTTACATTTGAGACAAATAAGTATCACACGAAATGTGTGAAAGTGCATTTTGGCTGTCATAACCAGTCATCCACTGAGTTAGTGGGAGTTAAGTGAACCTAGAAACTTGGTTGACAAAAAGAAGAGCATCTGTTTACCTCTGTAGCATGGAGAAGAGGAAGAAAAACAATAGTTCTCCTCTGTTGACAAATATAATGATGTAACTGATAATTTAATACTTTGTGTTTCATGGTAAGATTTTTCTGCCAGCTTTATACAGGTTTTTATTGCTGTTACTCTGAGACACAGTGGAATGAGAACAAAATAAATAAGACACACGAAGAAGAAAGACTTGATGGGCTTTTTTTGAGGATTATTTTTAAAATTAGGAATAAATGCCCATCCAAGCTGGGGATAGCTAATTAAGTATTCCAATATCAGTGCAATTAAAAATCCATATATTTTAATGTATACGTTATTAAAATGTATGTGTTATTTAGG